AAATCAGGTAAGACTTTTGGCTGACATGTTCTTGCTCTACCACGAGTTGAGAGGCAGCATGGGAAGCTTGACTCCTGCACAAAGCCTGCACCAAGCCTGCACCAGCTGCAGCCTGCCACCCAGAGAGGACAACCGCTGGCAAGAAGTTGCCTTCCAGGGTTAGCAGTGGTGACGGAGACGAGACTTGGACATCCCAAGTCCCACTGAGGCTGCTGTCGATGCACGTGCTGCAGAGGGACAGGAGCTATTGTGCCAACTCCTGGCTAGAGGAAAGCGTACCGGGGAGAAACCCCAGAGCCTGCTTGAAAAGGGCCCCATTTCACGCTCTGGCTATCAGACTCCTGTTTGCCTTGTTGACTGGAGTATTCATTGTAGAAGAGAAGTTTACCAGGCTTGGGGGGTGGAGAGGGCAATCAGTAAGGTGGGAGTGGAGGGAAGGGGCTTTTCAGACATTAACATCACCAAAAATAGTGTTTTATGCAACAAAGAATCAAGTCTTACTGGTGTATACTACAAAATGTTTGACATTTTTCAAGAGCATGACAAAATAAAAACACAAAGAAGTTTACATTGGATGTTCATCTTGTTCACTAGGTTGGGGTTTGGGTTTCTTCTCCCCCTCCCCTCCTATTTTAAAACAGTGCAAACAGGTAACACACTTTAAAAATCACCCCTCTGCACCAAGGACAGCATTCCCCGACCCTGCCAGGCTGCAGGGCCGCGGGCAGCGGGCTGTCTGCCACACTGCCCGCCTGCTTTCCCTTTGGAGCTAGACTCAGCAAAAGCATTCCCCAGAACTGTTGTTTGGTTTTCCCTTTATTGAATTCCTAAGCACTCCCCAAACTTGTTCTCCATTTGCCTCCTTTGGGGCTGGGATGGGAAGATACAGATAGGGATGGTTGGGGAAAAACACGGGTGGGAAACGGGAGGCTCTGCTTTCTACTCCCTGCTGCCGAAGCTCTGGGTGCTGGAATTGAAACCCCAGCAACCAGCATCTCTTTTCGGGCAAGGAAATGATTTCATTAACCGTTTCACAACTAGCACTTGAGCCAGCTATTCAGATAATCCTCCTCAGCTCTTGCTGTGCACTTCACATCCACAGATCTCAAAATGGGTGAGAACAGGGGATAAACTATTACCTTCACTTTAGGGACGGAGAAGTGAAGTCTGGAGTAGCAACATGACTGCTTCACGATGACCCTTGAAGATCACTGGCAGAGCCCTGCCCAAAACACAGATTTCCGACTCTGGAGCTAGCGCTCTTTCTCGCCGGGCAAGTCTGCTCTTTCGGGCACTGAAACAGCCAAGCCACAGCTCTTGTAAAACATGGCTTTATCTATGTGAACTCACAACACAGGACCCACGTAACTGCTTGACCTGGGAAAAGCTGGCTATAGCAGGCTCATACTGACCTCCCTGTTGTCTCCAGGTCCCGTCATGGCTTTTCTTAGAAAAGCTAACCCACTCACAACAGTGCAGCCTCTCTAGCGCAGGGACAGTGACAACAGTTTGTTAACGTGCTGGGCATCAAAAGAACTTATTCCCAGTAGGGAATATGGTATAGCAGTATAATTCATCTTTGTACCAGCACAACTGTATTCACAAGGAAAGATAGACTGGCACATTAAATAAATCAACTTTTCAATCCAAAATTTTATCAGTACAGTATCATGTGCTGGCCAGACCTATTGCAAGACAGTACAAACAGCAACACTTAAAGAAACATATTTTCCTCTACATCAAGAGGAATCCCGGATGCCACCAGACTAGAAGGTGACAAGCAGCAAGCTATTTGCCAGGCTGCCTGTGCGGTTTCCCTTGGAAAGCCAAACCCTGCTTTGCGAGGGACCTGTGACTGCAGACCTATCTCGGGGACAAGCACTAGCTGCCGTCGGTCAAATAAGCCAGGGCCTAGTTTAATTCATTAAGCGTAATTCATTTTGCATAGGGAGATATAGGCTTTGTCCTCACTTCTTCAGAAGATGGATATAGCCACAGCTTGGCTACTCTGAATGCATCTCAAGCCAGTTCACAACACATCTGAGTGAAACCAGAGCTGTTGTTTGCCAAGAAGGAAGGAAGGCTGAAGAGCTCTCCCGCCACGGCACAACACTCACTCGAGAAACCTCGCTGTAAAATTCCATCTGGCGTGAAAGTTTTTGGGAGGTCTAGCACTCTGGAGACCCAGGACCAGCAAGCTACCTCCGGTTCCCAGCTAGGCAAGCGTCCTGGCATCCCCTCTGCGGCTCACTGCTGAGTGCGGGAAGCCAGGCTATCAGCAAGCTGCCTTGGCAGGGATCTTGCAGCATTAACTACGGAGTCAAGGAGACACCAGCTGGTTAATGCATCAGGAGAGCCTGGCAGGGAGCGACCAGAGCAGGCTGGGCTCGGATACAGGAGGAATCAGGCTGGATGGTCTAGAGCAGGAATTACTTGGAGATCATACAGCAGGGGACCGTGGCCCTGCAAAGGTTGGGCGCTTCTGCACTAAACACCTCACACTCCTAATATACTCGGGTGGGCTGAAGCTGCCATGCATAGACTCTGCTCGGAGGCAGAAACGGGGCTGGCCTCCCTGCTCCCAGAGAGGCCGAGTGGCAGGGGTGGGGGGATTGTGGGCGGCACTGCCAAGGAGGGCTCTTGGGGAGGGAGAGAATCCAGCTTTTCAGGAGCTGCAGTCAGAACCAGCTGAACTGAAAGGCAGGAAAGGGGCCAGAGGGGCGAGCAGCCGCCCCTGCCAGGCTCTGCAAGCTGCGCTCCTCTCCTCGCAGCCTGCAGACCCGCTGCACGAGGAACTGCCTGCAGGCAGGGAAGGGACGGGCTTGCTCAGCCCCTCCGCCCCACAGGTGGGCAGAACAAATCCAGTAGAGGCTTTTGCTGCATCTCAGCTCCAGAAGTCCCCTGGCTGCCCCACGGTGGAAATGGCTCCCCTTGAATATGACTATTTCTACCACAAGTCCTCCCTCCCCTACCCCAACTCAAGCTCCCAGATGCCCCAAGTCCCCCTCATTTCCTAGATTTTGTGAAAGCCCCGACATCCTCTTTCCCCCCCCCTCCCCATTTTCAAGCTAACTAAAATATTTATATACAAACAACAAAAAATTGTCATAACAGCAACAAACCAAACTTTGGCTTGGGAAAAAAAAAAGTTAAAAACCAACAACAAAACCAGAAAAAAAAAAAGTGGCCAACAGGCTGGCAGTTTGGTGTCCCCTTTATCTAGCTATTCCTCCAGAGAATCAATAGCTTCAGGGTCTCTAGCTTAACTAATGGTTTCCCCATCATTCCCGTTTGAGGTGCCTCCTCTCTGCTGTGCACAGAGGTGCTACGTGTATTGCTGGGGAAGAGCAAAAAAACCAGGGCCAGGACACCTCCCCGGGAGTTCTGCTTGTTGACATCACTTAGTGTTAAATGCAGGAGGTTTCCTATTCTGGTATCAGTGGTGGATGGAGAAGCAAGTGTACAACAGGAGCTAGAGAGGCTCCCCCAAAAAAACACGCTCCCAGCAGCTCTTCTGAGGTCAGTGAGCTTACCCCAGTACCAATCAAGGGAGTCGAGGCAGTCTAATAAAACCACACTTCTGCATTTCTCCAATACGAGGTTAGGGACCCTGCCTCTGATCACTGGGAGTGCCCTAGGAGCCAGCAGCTGAGCGAGGAGGTCAGGAGAGCAGCAACTCCCCATCACAGCGCAGCTTGCGCAATCATCTAAAAACGCTGGCTTTGAAACACAGCAAAATCACTGTACGTGACAGCAAGAGAGAGATGGTCTTGGAAGGTGTGGAGCCCTCCTCTAAATACTCTCTGCTTCCAAATCTTCAAAATATGTAGTGTCTATACGGACTCAGCAGACCAGGTGCACAACTTTCTATGAGAGGCTGGGCAAAACAGACCCAGGGGCTCCAACACAACTATGTAAGCTTCTGAAATAGCTTGTGGTGGGAAGTTCCTATGAATTTAGTGCTCGCACAAACTGCTTCTGCCTCCCCTTACTCCTGACCGAAACAAAAACTACTTCAGGATCACGTTTAGATATAAAAGACCCTCTCTTCTTCCACACAAGCCCACATGCTTGCCCCTCGCCTCAGCAGCTTATACATGACTTGTTTTTCCTCATTCGTGTTATTTCAAACAGATTACTTGCAGAATCACCTAAGCAGTTCAGGATGAACAGGAGGAGAGACCTTGCATATTAGATCTCAAAGCACCCGAGCATAGCACTGATGCTTGGTTCTTCAGCTAGTGTCTTCCTCTGTAAGGCTGCATGTGCTTCACCTCTGCAAGTTTAACTGCTTGCTGTCTGCAACAGAGGTACTCTGTGTGATGCTGCATTGCATCTGCTGCTCCTCGAGGAAAGAAGGAGAGGGAAAGGACAGCAAGGGAGAAAGATCTTGAAAAAGAGGAAGAAAAACTAAGATAATTACAGCCACCAGCAATGGACAACAATCAGCTAGATTAAGTTGTGTGGGAAAGATCATCATCAAAAATTCCTTTCAAAGTCTTGTCCCCTATACAGCAGGTAACAGCCAAAGTCTTTGGGCAGGTTGAGGATCTCTTCTCTTGTCAAGTCTAAAATCCTGACACTGCTGAAACTGTCCCACACCTGTGCGAGTCAGATGATGATAAAAACAAGGAAAGTCTCTGCATTTCCCCCACTTTCGAATGTAAATGACTATTTCCCACCAGCATTAAGGTCCCAGCCACAGCCAAAGAGTGCTTCCTTCTGCAGACCAGAAACACGGCAGGTGGAGACTTCTCCCTCACGTCCTCCTGTCTCACCGACACCAAGCACCAGACCCAGGGAAGTAACTCTGTCTGTATGTTCCTGATTAATTGCATGATATCAGTTTCTAACAGCTTTCCTTATCGCTAATAGCCTTTTCCGTGATTGGTAGGATAAGCTATGCACCAACATACAGACACGGAAATGCATTATTTTTACCACAGTTAAAAAAACCCCAAAAACGAAAACAAAAAACAAAAAAAAAATGCACAATCTTTGGAACAAAAGAATTAAAGGCAGAAATTTAAAGGAAAAAAAAATACATATTCAAAGAACATAGTGAGGTATAAAAAAGTATTTTCTCTTTTGTTTTTTGTTTTTCCTCCTCGTCTTGCTATAGAGTTCCTCTACTAGTAAATATTGCAATAGCCAGGCCTCATGAACTGGGGGGGCTGTCCCACTTGCAGGGGGCTCACGTCACTTCAGTAGGGGGCAAATCGGCTGTAGCCACCTCGGTATAAACTCGCCTGTAGAAATTAAATGAGAGAAGAAGAGGTGGTTAGGAGGTGAACTGTTAAGAAATACTCAGGACAGCAATTAAATGCTCTCAGAGGACTGACAGACATGTCCTGGCACTGACCCACCATCATCAGCATCTCTAAGAAGCAGGAGAGGACAACCTTGCCTGCAAAACCAAAGACATGACTCAGGAGGACATGCTCATGATCAGCCAGATGGAGGTGGAGTTTGGCAAGTCTCTGTCGAAGGGAGTTCAGTACCAGAGATGGGACTCATGAATCCTAATCTCTGAGCCAGTTGTCTAGGCTGTTTTTAGAGATAGCAGAGACCAGGACTTCTAGGATGCTCTTCACCTCACCTTAAGGTAAAGGTCTAAAATAGACACAATGACCTGGTATCCTTGAAGTATCCATTTTTCCTTCACTGACCCTAGAGAATCCACACAACGAGCTGAGGCTCAAACAGAGGTGCTATGCTGCAGATATCTATAATTAGGTGTCTTTTTCTCTGAACGCATTTGAATTCCAGCCTTTCCAACAACAAAGATACTACGCTGGCTAGAAGCAGATGGGCAAGCATGTTTTCAGCAAGCTGCTCCACTCCCCTCTGATGCCAGCATACCTCATTCCTGCCCTTGCATAACTACTGCTGGCAGGCAGGACATCGCATCCTTCCACTAGTGGAAGAGGGAATCAAGTGGAGCAGCTTTGCTGCAAGATGTCACAAGAACAACTTATTCCCTTGCTTCCTAGAACTGCTTTCTCAACATGCAACGCAAGCCTTTAACGAAAATGGCAAGAAAGAATCTCTAACTACTGCTGATTTTTGCTCTATATATGACCTTGATACAGTTCTACCAATTCACCAACAATGTTCTGTCTCCCGACATTTCTAGTCATTTTTCTACCATCTCCTTTGTACTAGGTGATGTGCAAGACCAAGTAAGAACTGGTCTTCTACAACCTGGCTCCTTTCCTCGTACACACACACACAAATGTATGAATGCAGAACAACTGGGAACCGAGCACTGCAGCTAGGGACCCTCCTCCTTCAACGAAAAAGGTTTTTCTAGGCGAAGTTTCATTACCCAATACCCCATGAACAGCTGGTTTGCCATGCTGGAAATGAGAAACAGCATAAAAAAGAAAATCCCACTTACCACAGCGCCAACTCCGTAGCTAGCGGCAGGGGCAAGGGCATGGTAAGGATCTGCTGTGTACACCCTGCCATAACTGAAGAGATGGAGAAAAGATACAAAAAAAGAAAAAAAAAGATAAAAAGTCACTTGAGAGGGGTAAAGAAACATCTGTCTGACCATAGGCAACGGAAGAAGCAGCATGCCCTTCTACACACGTGTATGCATACATGCACACACATGCACGCAGGAAGCCCCTCTTCAAAGAGATCCTACAGGCATGCTGCCATGCATCGTATGAGATGGGTGAGAGAATTGCCTGCAAGGAGGAATGTGGCAGAAGCCATGAGCTTGACCTGTAGGAAAGAGGTCAGCACCTTTGAAATGACAGCTAGCGCATCCCTTACCTCGCGCGATGCAATGTGGGAGGAGAATGACTGCTGACGCTAGCGCTACTGGCACAGTAACAGCTGCTAAATGGAAAGCAGCGAGGGATTCTCCAGAATGAGAAGGGAGAATAAACTTTAATGATCTCGCATGTACTTGGATTAAAACACGGCCTCACTGCACAGGAGACGAAAAATCTTAAGGCAAGCACTCTGATGATGATAATCCTTTGTCTCTATGCAGAGCTGCACGTTAAAGCATCCTAGAGGACTGCGTGAGCTGAGTAATTTTTACTTTACGGATGGGGAGAGAAACGCACCCAGTGATTAAACAACCTGCCCAGAGTCTCAGAGCAAGGAGCTGGCAAGGCAAGCCAAGTCTTTTGACTCTGAGGCTGCAACCACACTGCCTCCTTTGTGCAGAGAATCACAAGGATAGGGAAGAGGCCAGGATTTGTGCCAGCTCACATACACCGGAGGGCAATACTGCCCGGGAGCAGAGAGACAAACCGTGCATTCAAGTCTTTCATGTTGGGTTGTGCATGCATGTGTGCGCGTGCGAGTGCAAGTAAGACAAAGAAACAGGGAAAGGAGTAGAAACACTGTAATGGATCAATGGTCCTCCAATCCCTGAGCACAGCAAGCTAGTCCCCATGGACACCTCCCCCTTACATACCCATCGCTGTAAGCTGCTGCAGCGGCTGGCGGCAGTAGCAGGCTGTGCATATCTGTAGGCTGCATATCCACCCTGCAGGAGAGAAGAGAACTGACTTTACAGATACCTGTCCACCCACGCAGACCATAAAAAAGAAAATTAAAAAAAAAGTCACACACATCACAAGGAGAGGAAGTGTTTCAAACTGCATCAGCTCCCATGTCGTGTCTATCGCAAGCATCGCTCTAAGTCATGTATATTCCTTTCCTTGGAAGGACTAGGGAGACTCTTCCGTTACCCCGTTTAGCAGAAGGAATAAACTAAAGCAAGCCTGAGCATGGTCATATCCCTATAGGAAATTCAATTTGTCATGGAGGAACTGAAAACCAGAAGAGTGCTGAAATCTTGCATGCAATGTAATTTTTACGTCCTCTTCCTCTTACATTGGGGAAATCAGAGGTGGGCGCTTTCTGTGAAGTGTGTATTTTAGAAAGGGGATCATTCAGTGAAATTCCTGCTTTTTTTTTCTCCTCTATCTCCTTTTTAAGCCTAGGGAACCCAAAAGGCTAGAATTTCCTTTGGTCCAGATGCATAGAAGTATCAGAAACCAAAAATCAATCAGGAGAAAGTGGTCAGAGAAGACAGTCTCTGGTGGTCTCAGAGCTGGCAACAAGCAAACTGACATTGATACCAATGAGATCATTCTCCCCTCCCTCCGTGTAAGATGAAAACAGGTCGGGGAAATTATGCCAGAACAGTCTGTATTGCTGCTGCATTTCTGCCCATGCTACACACCCGTAGTAAAGGTCTGATAAGAGGCAGTCACTAAAAATGTACTTAGAGCTAGGTTGGCAGAATGCAAATCCTGACTCAGAGGAAGACCTGCAAGTCTCCTCCTGGAACTCCCACAGGAGCTCTTGGGGCAGAGGACGACCTGTCTCAGAGAGGCGGCTCTGCACACCCTGCAGTACTGGATGACAGAGGCCAGGCACCTTTCAGACCAGGGGCGAAGGCTGCATGGCAGGCAGCAAAGAGGGCTCTGACGCCCAGGTTAGAGCTTTATTGTGCACTTCTGAACACATTTCTGTTAACTTGGGGGGGCAGTGATAAATGAACCATGGCTTTGAGTTGCTAGAAACACAATGAGCCATAAATAACATCAGAAAACTCCAGATTGGTTCTTTTTCTTTTTTTTTTTTTCCCTTCCTCTCCAATTGACATTTCAGAGTTTGAAGGACCAGAAGGCAGATTTACGCTCTTCATGCCTCCAGAATCAGCTCAACATCCCTCTATCACTTCTTCCCTATAGATCTTTTGCCTATATGTAACTAAGGGTACAAGATCAGCTCTACTATGGGATTGTGTGTTTGCTCAGCAGCGGTCAGTTTTGGGCTAGATAGCTTTTAAATTAGAAGTCATGATTTTAAATTAATTTTGGTTGCTTTTGCAGGGACTGTGTTAGCCCTGTGAAGGCTAACATGCTATCCAAAACACACCTGGATACCGTTTCCTATTCCAGAGGAAAGGGACTTACAGCCTCTTCCATCTTTTAGTTAACAGAAGAAAGAGTAACACAAATCTACACCTCTGAAACATCACCACATTGCCTGGAAGAGATGTCATGTTATAGTTTTGCCCTTTTAATCTCATCTAGCTGTTTCAAACTCTACATTTTGGATTGATGGTTTGGGGAGTTTTAGCTTGTTTTTGTCATGCTATCATTATTCCCACCTCCAAAACCTGACGGAGATGAGAGGAATGAGGTGCAGCCTTAATCCAAATCAAACCTTCATTGACCTCACCAAATTAAGACAGAACCTCATACCAATGTCATCGTGGTATTCCCTTAAGTTTATGAGCTTCCTGAAGTCTTGCCAGGCTCTGTCACTTGGGCACAGCGTACGAGGGGATTTTCTCCTGACACCACCCTCCCTCCGCAGGGCAGCGGGCTTCAGGGTGCACCCAGATTCCCACTCTGCCCCACATCTGCCAGGCACATTTCAGATCAAAAGCCATTTCAAATGTGCCTGGCACATACTCTGAACATGACAGCGAGATGCAGTTTGAAACCAAAAAGGGTTATCATGTAATTCTCTTTTAACTCATGTCTCTTGTAAAGGAAAACGAAACCAAACCAAACCAAAACAAAAAAAAAAAGAAGAAAAGAAAAAAAGAAGGGTTGGAATCAGGTGTGGGAAGGGGAATGGCGTAACATTTATTAATCAAAATTAAAAACTAAGCATGCTGACATCTGGAGCTAGAACAACCAGCAAAGTCACCACGTTCAGACTCATATTGGCTAGTTCTATCCATCCCAGCATTCTCTTGGGACAGCAGTTCGCCCTAGGCTCTACCACAAGCTCAGTGAAGTACACAGCCTCAAGTACTAGAGCGTGCAGCCACAACAACCTGCTATTACGGAAACAGTCAGTCACCACTGGAGTTAACATTCCAACCTTAACGACTCCCGCAGCCTCCCACCCTCGCCCCCCGAAATGGCTCCCACCCTAGCCCTGTCCCACACCACAATGTTAATAATTATAACAAGCAATAACCCATCTGTTATATCAGAGAAGGGAACAGAGACTCCACTGAGAGATTTAGAGCGGGATGTTAACATTTCTTCAGTCAACTGCACAACAAACAAAAAAAAAAAAAAACAGGAGAAATAATTCATTGGAGAAATGAAGTTAAGAAATAGCTGACATGTGTATTGCTTTTTAACCATGCACTGATGCAAAATTGAAGCTACTGTTAATTTAAAAAAAAAAAAAGTCATAGGATAGAGGTACACACGCACAGACAGACCCACTCAAAGTGGTCTGCAAATTCTACTTGTGTGTACTTCAAATAGAACCAAAAATGGGGATTATAATGGCCATGGTAAGTTCCTGTCATAGGAGCAATGAGCGTGGACAGCTGGGGGATTTCTGACACAGGGATGTATTTAGCATGACCAGCAGGTCCAAATACACCAAAACAAGGTGAAGAAAAGAGAAGGAAAGTTGTGACTAGTACTCATTACTTCGTAAATGTTTTCGCCAAGCTCTGGGACCACCAAGGAGCAAAGCAAACACTGTGCAGGTTGCCTTCCCCAGCTGATGTTCCTGTTCTCAGTAACCCAGGGCCCACCTACAATCCCATCAATGCGTCTAAAGCCCTGCTCAGCTTGTCCAATACACCAGTTATTTTCTCCTGCTACTCCTGTTCACACGCAACTTTAACTGGCATGCAGAGCTCATCCGTAACCTTAGCTACACAGTCCTACCACCCCAAGTGATTGCTGATGCTACTCACTTTAAGTACTTTAGTAAATATAAACTATAACAGAATAGAGCATCTTCAAACATAAACAACCATGTTTCTCAATAAAAGAAACAACTGGAGGGAGAAAAAAAAAAAAAAAGGCCCTTGCTGGCTGCACCACACTCTTCCAGTGCCACAGCCAAACTGCAACAGAAGACACCACTGAGTGGCACAGTCCCTGAAACCCAGGACAGCCATGCAAACTCCCACTTCATCTATTGAAGTGAAGTGATTCCACAGGGACAGGTTTACTCATCCAGGTTCAGTTTTTAAAAGCTTTATCCTCGTCTCAAAAGAAACAAGTGCGGCTGAGCTTCTTGCAAAGATGTTAAGTCAGAGACGTTTCTATCGAAGGGATAGTTCAAACACTGCCTTGACAAGGAAACAGGGGAACTAAGGAAAAGGCTTATCCATTTTTACTGGGCAGTAGGCAACAACCAAAAGGACTGTCTAAATCAAGATTGGTCCTTTCCAGTACAGTCTGGATTGTCTGGGGAGCATGTGAGAGAGATGAACACAACCCTAAATGTTGTTTATATTAATTCAAGTTCTCTTTCTCTGGATATCCTGCCAGTGTTGCTGAGGCTGTGCTAAATCCCTTTCCCCGTGTGAACGTGTAGCGCCTGAGCCTATAGATCTCAATTGTCCAACAACCGTATATGCTCAAGTATTCACAAAATCCCAAATTTAAAATTACTCTTCTATGATGTTATCATCCTTGGCTCATCAACGAAGCAAGAAAACATATTTTTTCAAATCCCCTCTAACATTAGATGATGGCTTTTTCAATATTGCCATATATTCTCTGAAATAACACCAACATAGCAAAACAACATATATAGGAAGCTGCAATCCCAACTAAAGCAGCGTTCCAATTACTGAGCGTGTTAATGCAGATAAATGAGCATTTTAAGACTATACGGTTCAGCTCAAAATAAGTCCATCTTCTCTTCCACTCTCCAGGTCCGCATTAGGTGATCAATCCGATGAGAACATGAGGAAATCTAAAACTACAGCTTGCTATGTCAGTGTATTCTGTGGTATAAGCCTCTCTCTTCTTTTTCCCTTGCTGCTTTAGATGGGCGCACAAAGTGTGTTGCTGGTGCTCTTTACTCCGAAGAGCCTTTATGCCACTAAGACACAAGTGTTCCCACGCCCCTGCAGACACGTATAACTCATGGTACCAGTTAGATACGTTTGACCACCTGCCAGGTTTAGGCAGCGGGTCTAGTTTTAGGATCTTTTATTTGTCATATCTCAAAAATGTGTCTTCTCCACCCCAAACTGCCCTATAGCAGAAGTTAAGAAGCAGAAAGGGCTAGAACCGTTTCCAGTACTTCTGTATTAGAAGGGTGGCATACGTGCACCAGGAATGAGCATGAATGAATTAAAAGAGGTGACAGGACAACGGTGTCCATTGCAGCAGGTGCTTCTACATGGTAATGGGACAAGCATGACCTTGTTAACCCTTCCATTGAATTTATCTTATTATTTTTTTTTTAAATGAAATGCCACTCGGTGTGAGATCTGGACACACGCCGCCCTGCTACAGCGAGGGCACGGATCACACGTGAGTCTGCGCTGCCCTAAAAAAGCCTCTGTTCCCATCTCTAATGTGGTGCTGGAATGGTTAGTATAATTCAGTTTTTTCCACTGCAATCCACAATCTGATCGGTTGGCAGGTCACACTGGCACTCCTACCTGAGGTATTTTAGCGCTAATGATTGGTTCCTGTAAGACTATTCTATAACAGAACACAGGAAGAGCAGTTCAAAAAAACACAGCTGTGGAAAGAAACAATCATACAAACAGCCCACGGCGGGGCTCACCAGCCTTTTCTTTCCAGTGGATGCAAGCACGCTTTTCACAGGCAGGAGCGGTCTTCGCACAGGTGGGTTTGTTTGGGTTTCCCCCCCACCACCCAGATTGACCCCATTGTAGAAGAAAGATAACCTTTCTTATGATCCGAAATGAAGCCCTCTGCATCCTGGGGCAGGTTGTTTTATGAATTCAGGTGTCTTGCCAGAGTGGGACGCATCCAACAAGAGGTGGAATGCCTTCTTCACAGAAAGTGGCTAGCAGGATGGTTGCCCCAGGAAAGAAAAAAGGAGTGAGGAAGAGGAGGAGGAGGAAAATGAGAAAATTGGTGCATAACACATATGCGGAAAAAGCAGCCCAAACTTGGGACACTTGCCCTTCATCTTGCCGACCGCTATACATTCCCTGTCAGCTCAGCTCTCTTCCAGCCTTACTTGACACAACCCTACAGACTCAGAAGACCTAAGGGAATCTCAGTTTAACTTTCCCCTCCAGTCCTAACAGAAGGACCCTCAGACTTCCTTTCCACAATCTGGACAAGCCTTTCACAGCAACCACAGGGACCCAAGCACTGCAGTGAAAAGCACGACAAATCAGTGGGGCACAGGGACACTCTAATCATTCCACCTATGCCAAGCAAATTGTTTGGAAGGGTATCTTCATGTTTGGATTATGACAACTTTTTCCTGAGCTCCATCGGAGAGCTCTGGGCAGCAATAACAGGAAAAAGCACCACCATCTACCTTGATGAGTCCCCTCTTCTATTATCCTGCTTTCTGACAGCGAGACCAGAACCACCATCATGTTCTAACCCGACTTGGGGGCTTAGTTTTGTGTTAACGCGATGCTACCGCACAGCAGCACCAAGCGGTTGCAGGGATTCTTCATTACTGAAGTCTCGTCCTTAAAACATGTTAAATAAGCCTCTCCTCCCCACCTAGAATGGAAGCTCTGAAGGAGCTTTCTCAAAAGAAACAGGGAGTAGCCCTGGCCAGTCTTCCCTTTCAACGTGACAGCCTCTTATATGCCATAATCTGAGGGAAGAGACACCAAGCATTGCTCATTTGCTTGCTTACTTGCTGTAGCAAAGTCAGTGGTCTGTAAAGTTGGTGTTTTAGGAGCGAGGTGGGAAAACCCAGAACCCTCTGTAGTCCTTGACATAGTTTTATAAAGGAACGCTTGACTAGGCAGATCAATTTTTAAAGGGCTGTGCACACGACAGTAGATGTAAGGATGAAGAAACGCACCCAGTATCTCTATGCTCAGAGAACATGTCTTCCAACTGCTGTAACTGTGTTGGGAAAAGTGCCTTTACAAGACTTGACCCTCCATATAAGCCAACAAAATCCAAAAGCTAATTCCATCCACTATCTGGAGTCTAACCTCAGGGTCCTTTTTACAAATGTCAGGAGGTGCACCTTCAAAGGAGCGAGGATGCGAAATCCACGCCGACAACTGTGACACTACCCAAAACAAAACTTCCCCAGCTCCAAAGAGCTATTATGTGCAATACCACAAAAGGGAACTCTGCTAGAGCTAGGCAGGCCACAAGTTTCGATGGCAGTAGTGGACCTGAACATTTTGGGTTTGAAAGGCATATTCCTACCACAGCTGCTCTGCAACAGCTCTCCACTGGAGAGGAAACGGCGTTTCTCACTGGCCAGCCAGAATCCCTGCATCCACAACCCACCTACATACACAGATGCCCTGGAGATTTGCCATACAGACTGGCTAGGTAGGACAAAGATAATGACAGGACTAAGTCTCCTGTGGTAGCAGAGCTAATTCCCAGACAGGAGGAGGCTGCTGACTCTTCTAACTGAACATCTCCACGTATTTGTACTTTACAATTCCCCAAAGAGGTGAGAGAATCTAGCCTATTTAGGTACCGTTTCTACCAGCAAAATGAGATGTCAGTTTTTACTCTAGCAGCTCAGTCCCCATTTTTAATCAGTCCCAGTGTCTTCCCCAAAGGGATAATCTCCACATCCCAGTGGCACATGAACATTTTTAAACATACAGCTTGCTCGGTTTAGTGTAGGCTGCACAAATCAAACCTGAAAGGGCCCCAAGAGGGGAGAGAAAGGGGAGGGCGGAGGGGGAGAAGGAAAGGGAAGGTCTGAGGCTAAACCAGTCCTGTTATTTTTATATCCAAATTATGTAAACGAGAGAAGTGTTGAGAGAAATTTTAATTCGCTAATCGTCTCTCAGGTTGATTAGTAGCAGTGTGCATGTAGGGGACAGGACACCCAGTAAACTGGCCCTGGCAATGATCAGGAAACCCAAAGGCTTAGGTCTTGCACCCAGGGGCAAGCGCAGTGACAGAGAAGCATGCTTGCATTCCTAAATATATAAATATATATATATCCACAAGGAAGAAGAAAATTAAAGTAAATGATATTTCAAAAAACCAAACCAAACCAAACAAACCAACCAAAAGGAAATAAAACAAAACAAAACAAAAAAGGCTGGCTTGTCAGGGATTGGGGATGAGAAGGCTCCGGTGTGTGTACTTACATAGAGGTCAGCACCGTAAAATCCGTCCTGGTAAACCACACTGCAGAAAATCCACACAAAAACAAAAAAACAAAAAACAAAAAACAAAAGAACAGAAAACACATTCCGGTTATTGAGGACGGCAGCATGCACATGCGTTTTACACAGGCAGGTGATGTATGAATCCACAACCTGGGCTTTTGGCAGGAGCAAATCAGCGAGAGAATGTGTGTGCGCACGCACGCTAGACGGCTCCAAGTCATCTTCCATGGCATGCAAAGGGGCAAGGGGCGGGCAGAGGGGCAGACAGTATGCAAAGGAGAGAGGGAGGGGAACCACCATCTTGTACAATAAAAATAGACTCAAAAAGATCTGATGTCCTGAAGAAGAGAAACAAGGGTTTAGAAACCTCCACTCTGGTTATTCTCCTGGAATGATTTTCGTTACCCCCTAAACACATGGAAACATTGGCTTCATGAAAAGGGCTTGTGAAATCAAGGAGCCCCTCAGAAGGCATCCCACAGGGGCTGGAGTCACCTATGTCAGAAGCATGTTTCAGAAGAGTTGTGTAGGATTACGTATTTCGAGCTTCACAGGGCTGCATGACTTTGTTTCTGACATCCATACATCACCTGCTTTTACCCTGCACATTAGACATGCGATAAGATTTGGCTGATCACACAAGCATGCAAAGTATTATTATTCAGCATCTTAAAGAACCGATGCAACACCTCAGGAAAACAAGTCAATCAATTCTGATCAAAGTAAACACAGAGAAATGTAATTAAAAAGAAAAAACCAAAAATACCCACAATGCATTGCTTTCACAAGCAGAGATAATGAGCTAAAAAGGTTAGGCGACTGGTCCAAGGTCCGAGAATTGAAAGGTGCAGTGGGAGTCCCTGGTAGTAACGACCTATTCCACAGCAGAAAGGAGCAACTGGAAGGGTTTCCATGGGATGGTGCTTTTTTCTGCTTTAAGCCACAGTTATCTTTCTCTCAGAACTTCAAGCAGGAAAACTTTTAAACCAGAGCCTGGGGTTCCCAAAGAGCCACTCTTACCAGAGTATTTGCTAGCGTGAGACTATGCAGCTCGCTTTGGGGACAGGGGTCAGGGAAGGATGAGGAAGGAAGAGAGGGGATGCCCCCCACCCGTTGGAGTTCAGAAAGTGCTTCATAATGAGGAATTTCCTCCTGCTTTGTCCTCTGAGTAGCTCCACACAAACTCACTCAAGGCTTTAAAAAGCATTAGCCCCACCATGTGTGATGTTCATGGACCTGATGTGCATGACTTACCAGTAGCATTAAGGAAAAAGAAGGCATGGAACACTAGCTTTTCTTTTGATTATCATTTTTAACTCATCAGATGGAATGTGAAATGCTGCCAAGAGCCTGCCACTCTCAGACACCCAACTATTGTAAGGCACGCACACGCAAAAAAAAGCCCAGAGGATCTTGCCAAAATTCTGCATGCTATTACTAAAAAATAAAATAAAATTAAAAAATATAAACACCTGTTGCAGTGTTAGCTACTGCTTGAATAATTTAGTCTTGCTGTCTTCCCCAGGAAAAGTACAATTCATTCCCAATGGACAGAGTTACTACGGTCTCCAAGAGTGTGGGGAGCAGATATGAAGATAGAGACCCTTGTTAGACAAAGAGGGAGCCACTTCAGCAGGGAGAAGCAGGCCATAAGATCATGTCTGTTGAAGCTAAATTTTTACAATCACATAACAAGGAATTTGGCTCCTGGGGCAGTGACTTACATTGCTGGGTTCTCTATCTAGGACCAGGAGTGTTTTAGCAGTGATACTCCACCTGCTCCTGCAGGAAAGGCAAACGCATGACAGAGGAAGTGACTGTTGGTTTATGAACAGGTTAGCAGTTTTAACAGTTATTCCAAACACAATCAGCTGAATGAATATAAGCATTACCACATTGGATCAGGCCACTACTCCTGTAACTTAGAATCCTGTCAGCAAGAGATGCTAGCATCAGCTCTCCAGAGAAAACTGCAAAGAACACTAGTAACGGGTAAAGAGTAAGACTTCCTGAGTCCAAATAACCAAGCACACGTCCATCCTCTGTCTCTCCTTCAGTTAGGACTTGACTGACACCAACTGCCAGGGCTGAAATTTAGCAAGGTTTATTTACATGCTAGAGTATCCATATTTGTGATTCTTAATGCTGGCAAAAACTGAGAGAATTCCTTCATTTAAGAACCACAGAGACCATCCTGGTTATGTAGACTGACCAGAAGCATAAAGCAGCCCAGCAGTCCATCAGATCTCAGTGACATCTGCAAAAAGCCCACTAACTGAGCTAAAACACATCCACAAGAAAAAGAAATACGCTGGTTTTGTAAAGCAGTCATCATATCACTTAGGTGAACCAACAGTTGACTTTGTCGTACAAGGAACCAAAAAATCACTCCAAACCCCCAAAACTTCCTACCGCCTTATATCTAGTCTGACTTGCATCTACTCTTGCCTTTGAGACAGTGAACCTTCTATGTATTTACACTCCTAAACTATTCTTTAGTACGGCAAGCCTACTCTTTGTGTAGGTCCTTAATGACCATGAACAAGTCAATGTCTAACCTGTAGTTTGAGAAATAAAATTGATCAAGCTTATTCAGTTTTGAGAGTTTTACAGTAGGCAAGCTTTTTTTGAGGCTGACTTAATTCTTACAGCTTTTGGTCTGAAGTGTAACTTGTCAGCATTTTTCTTCAGAAAGCATGGCCGCTACAAATCAGGGCAATGTTCCAGTACAGGTTTTACTCGTGCTATATATCAGAGGTTATAACGTCTCCCTACTTCCACTGAACGCTGCCTCGGTTATAAATGGAAGGTTGCATTTGCATTCTGAGGTCAGGCTCAGGTGACTATCTAACATCCTCTCCAATGGTCTGAGCGATTGCTTTCTAAGGTGTGAATAAACATCCATGTTCATATATAAGTATGTACATTCCACACATGCCTTAGTAAATCTTACTTTGAGTTCTTGAAATAAATGTTAAAACTATTAAGAATGATATGATTTCTTGCACATTCCTCTGGAGTATCTAGCACTAGATGCTGTCAAAACTTACTCTAACCTGAATAGCTCTCAGGTCTGATCCAGTATGGCAATTCCAATAAGCTTTTGTTAATCCACGTTCTGGGTGTTTTGAATTCTGCCAGGCTCTCAAATGCAGCGATACCATTAAGTTTTGTAACTTAAACATCACTGAGGTTTGTGAAAACTAGTTCCTTCTACCAGGTTTGAGTTAACCTGCAGCTTACATTATTCACTATGTCTTGATCTCTCATGTGTTGCTGACTGATATTATGGTGTCATCTTTTCACTGGCAAGGAAGAAAGCAAATGATGCAGGGTACGGTGTCAGGAATGTGTGCCTGCCCCTGACTCCATGGAGGTCAACAGTGCCCATGTGGAGCGGTGGCTGTCCTACAGGTTGCTGCAACATGGAACTCATTTAGTATTATTCCACGAGGAATCAAATTCCCTTTACAGAATGTCTTGTAGAGATTCAGACTATGATGACAATAAAGACCAGAATGAGTCAATTACATCCCGGTGCTGGGGACTAGGGACAGTTCTGGACCATTTGTGAATCCATCTTGTTTACTGCTACCCTGCAAATGTTTACTGGATAGTAGCTGCCCACGGAGACATGAAATCAGCCAGCAGGGTCAGACAAACTCAACGTAATGTAAGTAAACACAGTCATGAGACAGTATTTGGAAAAGATAATCATTGGAGCCTGGCCCATATTCCGAACAGAAATAAACCTTCTATACTGGACTCAGGCTGGATTTGTATCAAAGACAAGCCTAGAGTCCCTCCCAGTGCGCCACTCGTGACAGCCTCTTGCTAGGAATGCTCCAGATCTTACTGCCAGGGATGAAGAGCACATCCCCCCTCCCCGCTGCAAGTATATCACATTCTGCTAGACGGCAGCACTTAGCTCAGCTTTGCTTCTGTTTTACTGTGGAGCATTTCCTAATAAAACCAGGCTGGATCATTTTTTAGAGCAACAGACAGATAAGTTGCAAGTCAGAGGCTACAATTAGAGGATACAGAATATGAACTAGGAGCAGTGGCGAAAAAAGATGGATCTGAAAACCCAGAGAAACACTGTTTGGAAGGCCAATGTGTTCAGACAAGAGATTTCATTTAAGTCTTCCAGTGAATTAAATACAAACATTGCCAGATTTGCCAGACAGCAAAGCTAGATAGATACATGACCACTGCAGCTTAGTTCTTTAAACTCCACTTTAAATATCAGACTGGACTCTGAAAAGAAAGGGCCACAGTAACTCTCACCGCTAAATCTGCTACAGAAGGTATTGCAAGCTTATCCAGCATATATCAGGCCAGCTCCTTGCACTGATGTGTGTAGCTTCCACCTCCATTTTTAATAAATTAAGATTTATAATTTATTTTCTTCCCTTTTCGGGCTAGTCTAAAGAAAAAAAGGTCAGTCCGCTTCTCTGTGTTGGTGGACTCGTTCCTACTCCTATTCTTTCTGAGAACGTTGCCCGGAAAATACAGCAAGTCAAACTCCAGAGACAGTCAATATGCATAAAGCATCCTGAAAATGAGGAACAAAAAAAGACAGCTTGGATGGGATTTGCTGATATATCTCTGGTTCCATCACACTTAAACAAACAAAAACCCACAACAAAATTCACATATGAACCTAGTTGCCTGTACTTTTAAACAGCAAAATACTCTTTAGTAACAGCATCTATTCCACTGCATTACTAGTGAAATTCAGAGGGCAAAGAATGCTAAGGCCACACATTCACCATTGCTTCATACAATGGTTAGAAGAACATTTCTCTTTTGTTCTCCCTATATCCCAAACACTCCCAGCTTTAAATTAATGGACTTGATTAATCTTTGTTTTAAACCTTTTTAAACCGTCTCCAACAAAGAAAGCAAATCCATTGTGGGTAACTGGCTCTTCTGTGTCCTACTGCCAGATGGTGAGGCATGAAGGAAATGAATATTATTCCTCATTCCTGAATACGAAAACACAAATGGAGCACAAAGAGCAGAACTTTTTAGGAAATTTTAGACCTTCTATCTTTGCGTCCTTCTCAGCAGCGCTATAATGTGTTGGGTCAATGGATGACGAATACCAGGTAGATGAATTGAGAAATTGTAAGGAGTCCATCAGTGCTTTAAGCTGTTGCAAGTACTGAAAATTGTTTCAGTCAAGAACTTAATGTGGAAAAATTTAGATTTGCCCCCACTGGATGCCACAGTGTGCAGAATGCTCTGGCACTACCAATTATCCTGACTCTCACCATCCAGACAATTTTAGTTATTTTTTGGTTAACCAATCAGCTATTTGACACGGTTGTGCAGAGCACTCCGCTCTTGTGACTAGTGCTTACCCTGGGTAGGCAGGGATGGCTGTGGGAGGTACTGCCCGGACTGCCCCATACACTGTCCTTCCTCGGCCCCTCAGATGGGCTCCCCGAAACGCGGCTGCTGTGGTGGCTGCTGTTGGATAGGGGAAGCCTGGAACTGTAAAGACAGACAAGGTAGAGGGTGAAAAGGATCCAAGCTCTTGCTCAGAGAACAACCGTCTGCTTCAAACAAAGTGACACAATAGCTCCACAGCGGTGGGACATTTTGCATCAGTCCTGCAGAGGGGCATGCTTATAACCCAGCAAGCATCTGATACATACTTCCTGCTACACCATGGCCTTTAGGGGAAGAGGGGTTGCAGAGAGGTTTGGCATGCAAGAGGTTAATGCTTTGGCATGCCTCACCCACCACAAACAGGGTACAAATCCCCCCGCCTTTTGACACCGCCATGCAGTCTGGTTAGAGTCCGAGAAGCGCAGAGAGTTACTATCAATATAGCAGGCGGCTCTTCCAAAACTGCAGAGGCTCTTTAAAATAATTTGTCAAGAGGCCCTTAAAGTCAATCAACTTACATCAGTCTCTTCCCTCCTTTCCCCTCCCACTCTTTGCCACCCAATCCTCTGTATGTTCATTTTAAAGCCTGAAAGACAAGATAGCCCATATAACAGCAGCAGAAATTTCCCATAAAGTGCCAGTTTACTGAAAGCCCACCTTCATTTAACAAGCGTGACCAATAATAACTGGCTCCATGTATGGGGCCTGCCTTATTACGCTTTACACTGGAGTAAACTGGCTCGTGATGAAGTGATGTAAAACCTCAGAGGCATCTGCAAACACGTAATAAACAGATACCGAGAGGGAAGAGTCCCAGGGCACAAACCCAACCTAACGTGCGTCCAGGTGCATGCCACCGGGGGCCCTGCAGACTCGCGGTTTAGCAGCTTGTATAATATGTACTTTCGGGATTTGTCTGTTTGGTTTCTTTGATTTCAAAAGAAGGAGGGGAACATGGGAATGGCCTATTCCTCACACACACCCTCCCCTTGTTCTGCAGCTTCCTCGTCGCTCAGAAAGACCCATTCACCAGTACAGAAACAGACTGCAGATGAACAAGTTACAGCCACTGCACAGTGTACTTTGGCTCGAGGTAAACTCATTCCCGTCCTTTCAAGTATATATTATACAGACTGGAGAGAAGAAGGGTAACAGGTCATCATTAACTCAAGCACAGTAACAATACAGGGGCCAACGGGGGCTACTTACTGATTAAAGGAATGTAAGTGTTAATACCCCCCCTTCCTGACAGGGGCACTGCGGCGTCATTGCCCAGCGAGACATCTGCTTGAAAGCTGGACGCTAATTTAATTTTCAAAAGAATAAAAAAAAAACAAAACAAAACACAAAACAAACGTAAAAAGGTTATAAAGAAACAGCAGATTGAGAACATAAACAAACACCACTGCAGTTAAATGGCAGAAGTGGAAGTGTCTACTTAAGCTCTACCTGCATATAACTCAGGGCCGTACACCGCTCCAACCACAGGACTCAACTTCCAACCTGAAACAACAAAGACTGCAGTGAATGCCAAAATCTACACCAAGAGAAGGAGCGGGCAGCGTGGGTAGGGGGAAACCATCTCTTGCGTGCACCCCAGCATCACATGCACAGCTCTTTCCAATTTCTGCTTCGCCTCAATCCCCCTTGGTGTAGATGGAGGCCAACTGCCTTTTTCTAATGTCAGATTCTAGGTGCTGTATCGGAGGGAACAGCAAAACGTCAGCTGATCCGCAGCGCGGCAGAGGCACGGCTGAGGGAATGCCAACTAACCTTATATGCATATTCGCCACAAGCACTGTGCGACCCTGCGCTCCCCTGCATGAACCTTGCTGCCAGCTCCTCCAGCTCCTCCCTGCTTGCACCAGGATCACTGCAGATCCAAAACCGCTCTTAAAGCCACCTGACACCATCATCCCGGGCAAGTCAATTTATAGCATAATTCTCAAAACACCCTTCTTCTGTCTTATTTGCTAGTGATCTGCTAATAAGCAACGGTATCCAAATTACACCACTATAGTGCAGAAAAGCAATTCAATCTATTCGGCTCACATTTTCTCCTCTATGTTATTTTAGTATTTCCTGTCTCCTTTATGCTGCTTTTCAGGTGAAAGCCCTCCCAGATAATTGATTTTAATATCATCTGGATAATTGGTGAGAACTGCAAATTATCACATAAAGCCTACAAGAGAACAGTGCTTAAAGAAGTCACCACTGGGGTATGAGGAGGAACACATTCCCCAGTCAGATCTAGACACGTATCTGTCATTCCCCCCCACCTTTCTATTAAGGGAGAGAAGCAAGGGGTGTAAAGCTAATACCATGATCTGGGCCAGCTTTCACAAAGCAGTTCTTTCAGGAAAAATCTCAGCTGTTCAGCTAGCAATCACACAGGTATTTTTGTTTAAATAAGTCCATACCCGTCCTCTGTCTTGGAGTCCTAATGCACTTACTGAGCTTTAACACCTCTAACCAGCCTAGAAACCATACAAACAACCTTGTGAACTGCGGCCCATCAACACCGTCCCTTCACCTGCTAGCAGAGCATCCATGCGAGATGCAACGCACGCTCCCTCCACAAGACTGGGCACGCTACCGCTGCGTTGCCCACCTTGATGGCAAAAATACTTGAGTGGTGGCAATGAGAGGACTGGGATCAACCCTCAGATTTAGTAAGTCGTACGACCACTCATCCGTATGCCTTAAGCCTGGCTTAATACTAAGTACCTTCGCGTAGCTTTAAATTGCTGGCTGTGAAAGCAAAATATTCCTGCCCATTATCAGCGTTTCATGAGTAAGCCAAGCTTTGTTACCAAACAGTCACATGCATTTTCTGCCCTTGTTTTCAGTACAACATAACATGGCTGTGTTGTCTGTTACTACAAAATCTCCTGTTCCTTTCAAACACAGACTCAGAGTGCCAGCCTTTCTGCCCGCCCTTTCACCAGATCTGTAACCAAAACCTAAATTTGCCAAGAGCCACACAACAAGTCAGTAGCAGAGCCACAAATAAAAGTCTTATCTTCTGACTTCTGAGTCCTACCATTGCAACCAAAACAGATTCTCACACTAGCAACTACCTATATGCAGCTTCCTGCCTTGCTGAAGCTGTATGGGAACATTTTCAGACCAAAAAGAGGTTTTTCTGCCTGTTTCAGGACAACGACTCAGATTCAAAATCTCTATCAAAGCAGCATTCAGTTCTGTCGGGAGAACTACTTTTTTTTTAATGCTATATATGCCTATGCAATAAAATCACTGCACAGACAGAAGAACCAAGATATCCTGATGACACAGTATTCTTCATTACCCAAACAACTTGGTCTTTCTCTTTTCAGGTTCACTGGAAAACAACTGAACGCAGGTGCAGCCTGGAACAAAAAGCGAGCAAACAAGCAGCGCAATGCCTCTGTTTTCCCGGCTGCTTGGGGACAGCTGTACTTTTACAGTTAGAACCTAAACTGAGATATATCCAATTATGTACCCTAAGTTCTAATTCCGCATTCATATTTAGGTATCTGCGTGATGGCAATGAGACTCGGGAGCACCGCACATCCCACTGTACAGCATCGGCTTGCAGTAGTGGCAGGAAACCCATCTATCTGTCCTTAGCTTCTTTTCCTAGCTTGGTCACACTGGCCATGTCACTACTCCTCTGTCCCCACTTCTCCATCTGTAACATAGTATTCCTCCATAAACACTTTGGAATTATACTGAAGGACAATGATATAAATTAGGGTTTGTGGGTTTTTTTTTTGTTTCTTTTGCGGTTTTCTTTTGGTCCTGAGGAGAGGCCACGACTCTTCCCTCACCAGGAAGCTTTTGTCTTCCTTCAAACCTTTCAGCTCATCGTTAGTACAGTCTCTCTTACCATTTGCATAAGGTGTGACCATCTTCTTATTGGTCATCACTCGTGCTGTGGCGTTGTTAACCTAAAAGTAAGAAAGGGTAGGGGGAGGAGAGGGAAGGAAGCATAGGACATTAGGAAAAATGACGGAAAACTCTCAGATACCACACACACACACTATACTTCTCTGAGCAAAAAAAATAATTTAAACGACTAATTTTACAATAATGCAAACTTTAAATTACTTTTAACAGTTGCCATTTAATTATTAAAAAGTTACAGCTAAACGTGGCACTTTAAAATTATGCATTAAACAAAAGGCCAACGAGAGTAAAGTGCAGATTCTCAGCCACCCTGCCACCCCTTGGCACAGGCTTATTTTCAGCTCATTGATCAAAAGGGCAAAACTTCAGAGGTTTTGTCCAGGTTCTGTTTGAGAGGCAGCGATAACTTCTGCAGTCCAGGGCAGGGGAACTGAACCAGGTGATGCACAAGCTGACTTGTTTCTCAAGCTCACCGTTGGAACTGGGGCCCAGCAGATCACTCGCAGGTGTACTTTTTAGATAGAAAAAGGTAGTCTGGGGTCCATCAGCTTTAGATTTGAACTGCCAAGGCTTGAGGAGATTTTTGGAATGCCACCAAGCGTTTGGATGGTGTACGTTCACCAATTTCTTGCCCATCATTTTCAAATCTTTTTCCAGATTATTTTTGACTTGTCTCAGATCACATGGAGCAAAAAGAGGAAACATAGCAGTAGATCTGGGTCTTTTTTTGTTTGTTTGTTTTATTGTGCCCTCCACCCTCTTTACAGAGCTCTGCATAGTTCCAAGCGGTTTGATTGCTCAAGCAAGTGGGGTGTTACCACAGAGATGGTGCTGATAAAGAAAAGATGGACCAGTTTGGAAGCCAAGTTACTGCAGCCCCGTGTCAGACAGCCTCAAAGTTCCTGCAAGGAGGGTGAAGTCTTTATACAACATCAGTAATTTATCAAAACCCAAGCCAAATGGGAATTGAGGCCAGGGTGAAGAAGGAGGGGAAAAAAAAAAAAGGGCTATAAAAATAAAAGCTGCTCTAGGCCCTTGAGACTTACTGATGGTGAGCGTAGGTGGGGTGGAGAGTCTGGAGCTACATTTACTCTCGTTACAGCCCCAAAACAATAGAAACATTACACATTTAAAAAGAAAGAATGGGAAACAACAATGATGAGACTGAGAGCATGCAGTTAAACACACACAGATAAAAGAAAGGAAAAAAAAAAAAAACAAACCAAAACCGAACCACAATTGATTCAAGAGGGTGGGGAGGGGAGGAGGGAGGAGATAGGGTCTCACAGACAATCATTAAGATGGAGCGAGTGCCTGAAATCAGCTGCTACAGCAAAGTGCAACACAAGCACTTAAAGGAAAAATTGCCAGAACCGATCAGAAACCACCAGTCAGCAAAGAGACCAACAGCTGCATTTAACTGAGTAAAGAAATAAACCGGGGAGGGCAGGGAGAGAGAGAAAGAAAAAGAGAGAAAACAAACAGTAACAGCTACAAACAGGTCTCAGAAAGAGAGCAGCAGAAATAAGGGGCAGGAGAGAGAGAAAAGAGGAAATGGGTGCATTAATAAAAACCAGCCAAACTGGAGTTCAGTAACTCTGAGTAAGATGTGCAAGGGGAAATTACCATGAAGTCAGTAATCAAACAGCTCAGACTGCTACAAAACGATATGTACATCCAAAGTCCAGGCGGCATTACTCAACAGCATTGAAAATAAAAGGGGGAGAAGGGGGAAGGGGGTGGGTGGGGACAACAAGTCAAATCACATTTCGTAGTGTTAATGTGAGATGGCAGATGGATTTTTTCTTTCTTATTTAATTTTGTTTTTTTTTTGTAATTTTAAGAAAAATTAAAAAAAAAAAAAGCTTCTTCTCTAGCGCTTTTGTTTCACTTACCGCCAACTCGTACCATCGCCAGCATTGTGTATAGT